TATTGTCATGGGTACAATCCCCTCCATGCATCATCAACTAACCAAAGGGTATACACTACAAGCCTGCCCTCACCCCCCACCCCCACCCCCCAGTTGTCAGCACGCAGTCCCTCTCTGTCTCTGGGTCTAAAGTCTCCAGCTGCTCCATCGCTCCATGTCATCATCTCTGCCTCCATCTCAGGCATGACTGCTTCTCTGGGTAGAGTCCTGCTCTCTGCTCTTCTCCCTTGATGGCCCCAGGGACCTCTGCTCCTATGCTGCAAAGTTAATCACTCCCCTCCTTGTTATAAAACGTCTACTTTTACATTTACAACCCTCACAATCAATCCTGATAACAATCACTCACTATTGTATCACAAGAGACCTATCTGTATTTCATTGCATCAGCCCCGCCTAGACAGATTGGATACTACTCAGTGGAGATTCTACCTTCCTCCACGCCCTCTGGATCTAGGCTCCCTCTGGAAAGCTTGTAAGCCAGTCACTTCTTGCCTTTATAGCCCCCCATTTAGGGTAGCCAATGTCCAAGTTGCCCATCTCTGCCTACTGTGTGTGTGGAGGGGGTGGGAATGATCCTCACTGTAAAGATTTGTTCCCTTTTTGAGCTAGTGCATCCATAGGTGTAGGTCAACCATTTCTTTTTGTAAAATGACTCTGTGTATTCCTTCCATCTTCTCTTGATGCTGTCTTCATCATTCAATATTTTGACCACAGAGCCTTTCAATATTGCAAGTTGGGGCTTGAATATTTTCTTGAGTTCATTGAGCTTGAGAAATGCTGAGCGTGTTCTTCCCTTTAGATTTTCTAGTTTCAGGTCTTTGCATATTTCATTATAATACTTGACTTTGCCTTCTCAAGCTGCTTTTTTTTTTTTTTCTTTTTAAAATTTTCTGTTTAGCTTTTACTTTCTCATTTCTTCCAATCACTTTAGTATCTGTACACTGGAGAGCAAGTTTCAGAGTCTCTTCTGACATCCATTTTGGTCTTTTCTTTCATATTTTGGCTGTCATGGACTTGTTTTAATTTTTTTCAGAAACATCCTGAACTTTCCTATGAATGATTGATAGTCTGTTCCACAGTAGTTCTCTGGCCTTGTATTGGCTGATGATATTGAGTGTTTCTACCATCTCTTCCCCCAGATGTAGTCTATTTGATTCCTGTGCATTCTATTTGTTGAGGTCCATGTGAATAATTTAATTGCCTTTTATGTTGTCATATGAAAAAGAATGTGGCATCAGGATTGGAGGAAGACTCATTAACAACCAGCGATATGCAGATGATACAACCTTGCTTGCTGGAAGCGAAGAGGACTTAAATATTTACTGATGAACATCAAAGACTAAAGCCTTCAGTATGGGTTATACCTCAAAGAAAACACATCCTCACCAGTGGACCAATAAATAGCATCATGATAAATGGAGAAAAGATTGAAATTTTTCAAGACTTCATTTTGCTTGGATCCACCATCAACATTCATGGTAGCAGCAGTCAAGAAATCCAGCAACATATTACATTAGACAAATACGCTGCCCAAGACCTCTCGAAAGTATTCAAGAACAGAAATATCAGCTTGAGGACTAAGGTGTGCCTGACTCAAGCCATGGTACTTTAAATAGCCTCATAGGCTTGTGAATGTTGGAAAGTGAGTTAGGAAAACCACAGAAGAATTGATGCGTTTGAGTTATGGTGTTGGAGGAGAGGATTCAAAGTACTGTGGGCTGCCAAAAGAACAAACAAATCCATGTTGGTAGAAGTGCAGCCAGAGTGCTCCTTAGAAGCCAGCATGGCCAGACTTTGTCTTTAATACTTCAGACACATTATCAGAAGGGACTGGTTTCTGAAGGACATCATGCTTGGCAAATTGGAGGGCCAGTGAAAAAGAGGAAGACCCCCAGGGAGATGGATTGACACAGGGCCAGTAGCAATGGGTCCAACCGTAACGATTGTGAGGATGCGCAGGACTGGGCAGTGTTTCATTCTGTTGTGCATGGGGTCACTAGGAGTCAGAGCTGACTTGACAGCATGTGACAAGCACCACAATTCCACCCTTAATCCTGATGTTTGTCTATCCCATCAAATCACGTAGGTACTTCTCAACTGTCAAACCATCGGGATCCCTGGTCAAGTTGACACGGAACCTTAACTAGCACACAGATCTATTGTTGTCGTGTTGATTCTGAGTCAGCATGATCATGAAGGACAAGGTACAGAAGACTCCCCGGGTTTTCAAGGCCGTGACCTTTACGGAAGCAGGCAGATACACCTTTCTTCTGCAAAGCTGCCAGTGGGTGAATACCGCTGGCCTTTCAGTGAGCAGTAGAGGGCTTTAGCCACTGCATCACCAGGCCTTCATTATACACACACATACAGAGAAATAACAAAATAGTTGTAAAAGAATGCAAGACTGCAGTAACATGATATCTAACTGAATGCTGAGTATATGCTCCAGATCTTTAGTGAAATAGATGATTTATGAGTAGACTCCATTGATGCATAGACGGCTGAACAAAGGACGCTGATGTATGGCTGTGTGAATTACGTCTGCCTGTGTACAGGGAACAGAGAGGCGTGTGGGGAGGCAAGTGAGCGCGTGGGTTTGGGGTGCTGTGTAGCCAAACTGTCTGCCTTCTCTGATGCTGTAAGTAAACCAGGACCAAACAAGGGCATTTCTCCTTCCTCCTCCTCCCCTTCCTCAAATGCCTGCTTGTCCGTAGTAGGGCCCCACGTCCTGGCAGGTCTTGAGTGAACTGGGCGCCCTCTGTCCATCCATCACCCACACACCCACAGTTACAATGTGCTGGACACTCAGTTGTCATTGTGAGCTGCTGTTGGCCATGACTCCTGGTGGCCCCATCCCGTGCCCACTGTGTATTCTGAATGCCTCTGCCCTGGATCACATGATACTGACACGCCTCTGACCACCACAATTAAGCAAATATCACAGGAAAGCACGGACACCCGTCTGTCGGCTTCCCGGCGCATACAAGAGTGATGTTAGCGCTAGAGTGGAGTCTATCAGACGACATAGAGCTTGATGGAAACATTTGAGATCTTGTGAGGACGACCACAGTGGGACAGAGACACGTGGGCATGACCTGCTGCTGGAAAAATGGCGCTGCTGGGCTGGCGGGATGCTGCGTTGCTGCACACCTGCCTTCATACGAAGCCCAGGGCAGCCACGTGGACTGGAAGGAGATGCACCTGTCATCAGTAGGGCCACAAACGTCCCTCCCGTCGTCCACTAGCAGATTGTCCAGACCACAGTGTCATGTGGGGACACGTGAGGTTTATTTCATAAAATCACCACATAAACTTGTGCTACTATGGAGCACGCGCTGTCTTCCCCGGGCCGTATCTACTTCCAGCGCAGTTCCGTCTTCTTGTCTTTGGACAAATGGTGTGTGGATAACAGAGTACTGCAGAACTCAAGATTCATTGCCTATAAATAAAGTGCTCGCGCCCCGTTCATCAAGAACGCCCGGTGTAGACGGGTTCGCTCACGCGGTCTCACACTCTGCTGGCTACGTGGAGTGAGAGGAGAAACCCACCAACAACTCGGGCTGAAATAAAGGCGGCTCCTTAGGGACTGACTTCACACACAAAACCAACCAGGAGCTCAACACCAGGTGAGGCTTCAGGAATACAGTGTTACCGCTTGTGGGTCAGGGGCCACAGACAGGAGGGGGGTACACATGCTGTATCCACGTGTCTGATTCTGAACTCGCAGGGGAGCTGACCGCTCCTACTGCCCACTAGCTATGGGTCAGTGCGCCAGGCCACTTCACACGGCTACTACGCTGGTGGAGGCACACAGGTTGGGCATGCTTCAGAAGCCGGGCAGGTGTGCGAGGGCAGGGAAGGGCTCAGGTGACATCCGGACACAGCTCTAAAGCAAGTTTCCTGTATGAAAAGCAGGGCTCCGTGTCTCACCCCTGCATTCGCCGTGCTCATGGGAGGAGCCTTCCCGGCCCAGATCCAAGGGCAGGGACTGCAGACCCCAGCCCATGTCCCCTGGAGCTCATCCACACGTGGTGACAACAATGGCTTCTCTCCTCAGGGGCGGGGTCATAACTAACATGCCTCCTGTCTGTGGGTGTCCTGTCAGGTGGCCCTCAGCGTGGGCTGACTGACCAGGCAGATGGTGAGCGACCCCAGATGACTGCCGTGGCTGTGGATGGGTGCCGACCACCTCACCTTTCTTCTACAGAGTGACTGAGTTTGAACTGTCAACCTTTTGGTTAACAATGAGCACATTAAGCACTGCACCACCCAGGCTCCTACAGCGACAGGTTATGTACCTGCCCCCCCACCCCCCGGCCCTGCTGTGACCTGCTCCCTGGGTCAGAGGGGGCTTTGTCAGCCACTGGACAGCAGTGCTGGGGAGGGGCCCTTACAAGGTGGAGCCATGGGGGGGGGGTGCCCAGTGCAGGAGGCTGTGAGCTGGTGGGGGGCATCACACACAAAAGCAGCTGGGAGTCAGGAGAAGGGGTGTTGGAAGCTGACTTGGGACCTGGGGTCAGCGACACTGAGGGTCTTCACATGGGCTGGGTGTCCACTCAGGTGGGACTCAGAAAGACGTGCGTGCAGGTGGGGGGCCCAGTGTGGGGAGTGTGGGGTGAGCTCAGCAGATGGCAAGTGGGATCCCCTAGTACTGTCCCTACCTGGCTGGCCCCATGGGGGCTTGTGGGGGCATGGGGGCGTGGGGACCTTGGCCACACTTGGAGACCATCTCTTGCTTGGTGTCCAGTCCTCGCTAGTACCCACAGCGCCCAGGCTGATGTGCAGAACATGTGCGATGCAGCCAGGTGGTGGGAGGTGGCCTCACAGTGACCACCTGCTGCCCTCGTTCACTTTCTGGTATGCATGTCCATAGAGACCCTGCCTGGCTACATGGCCCTGTAGTTAGCAGCCGACCGAGCGGTGGGCAGCACACAGGGGCACCCCAGGTGAAGGGAGAGTGGATCTGCGGGGTGTCTGGGATCGGCCGGTCGGCAACTTTCTCACACAGCAGACAGATCCACACGGTGGGCGGAGGCGCTGCTCTTGTCCCAGGGGCTGAGCTTCGAGGACGTCGTAGCTGGCCGGGCTCCGTTCACCTACAAACCACAGAAAGGTAGGGTGAGGATGGAAGGGTCAGGGTGGGTGGGAGGGTGGTCTTCCTGCCCTCCTGAGGACACATCTCTCCAGGACTCTGTACCACCTCCCTTCCCATTTCTGATTCCAGTTTTAGGGTGTGGACTCATCCTGACCCAGAATAGTTTGTAACCATCCTTCCTCTGTCCATTCATTCATCCATCTATTCACCTGATCATCCATCCACCATCCATCCTCTGTCATTCATTCATCCATCTATTCACCTGATCACCTGTCCACCATCTGTCCCTCTGTCCATTCGTCCATTCAACCAGCCATCTATCTACCCATCCATCCACTCGTCCATCTCCTCACTCATTCAGCTATACACCTGATCATCCATCCACCCGTCCGTCCCTCTGTCCATTTGTCCATTCAACCAGCCATCTATGCACCCATCCATCCATTCGTCCACCTCATCATTCATTCATTCATCCATTCATCTGCCCATCTGGTCACTCACTCATCATGTATCTGTCCATTCACACACAGGTTTGGTGGTTGTTTAGAGAGGACAGCCTGTGCTGAGAACTGCTGTAAGCCAAGGCTTACAGAATCCACCAGCTCCTCTGTGCCCATGTGTGGGGGAAGGGACACAGGCGTACGGTAATGGATTGGGGTTGCCCAGGATGGTTAGGGTGATAGATAGCATGCAGCTGTGCACTGAGAACCTGTGACCACCAAGGGACCTGGTCTGGGGGTGGGAGGGGATGAGTCGGGGCGGGCAGCCACAGAAAGGCGAGAGGCTTGTTTAGACCCTGGACTCAGGCCCTGAGGTTGTGTAGGATGTCTGTGTCCCCTCAGATTCTATTTGCCCTCGAGTCAGCTGAGGTCAGCACAGGAGACCCTGGCTCTGGGGACCTGCCATGATGACCTGAGCCCAGGTTCACGGTACTGTTAGGCATGCATCAGCTTGGAGCACGGAACAAGACCAGCAGGTCCCGCAAAGCCCAATTCCTCCTCTACCTTCACCGCCGAGACGACCACAGCACCCACGGGGCCCCAGAACCACAGCAGCCGTCAGGAAGGGTGCTGGCTAGAGGAGGCGCTCATGCTACTCACGATGTCGGAGCTGGAGGGCTTCACATGGGTGCTCCGAGAGGTGCTGCTGGTAAGGGACCAGATCTTGGTTTTGTGCTTGAAAGCGGCTCGTACCTTTGCAAGAAGGATGGGGACTCAGGAAAAGCAAATTGCAAGGAGCTGTGATTCTGAGTGGAATTGGCCCAACCCAGGGCCCCTGGAGCCCCAGGGAAGAGGGCCATCCCCACGATGGGCTGCAGTGAGGCTGTTGGGGTCCACAGACCCCCCGCCACACTTTACTTTCTCAGCCGGCTGAGTCTGGAAGCTCCACTGAAATTGTCCTCAGCCTAGCAGCACACAGGACCCCACAGCCAGGAATGGAACCCGGGTGGGTCTCCCCCACAGACGACCAGAGCACCCCGAACCACTACTGTCTCATAAACACAGGGCGATAGGCAGGCCGGGGGGCCCAGATCAGGACAGAGCGGGTCTGCGTGGTACTGACTGGGGTAACAGAGGCAGGCTGTTGCCCCTGCACTGCTAACAACCTAGGGGCAAAGTCTGGCCCAGTCACCCTGCAGTCAGCATGCTCGGCCACCTCCCCATGGCCAATTTGGCTGCATAGCGTCCCCACCACTGTGTGACTGGCACCGATGGGCAGACGTACCTCTGAGTTCAGGACGCAGTGGAACAGGAAGATGAAGAGGCCCTGGCAGAGGAGAAGCCAGTTAGGGGGTTCTGGTACCTTTCCAGAGCCCCTTCCCTGTCCTGTGGGGTATGACGGGTGGAGGAGGGCTCCCCCCAGACCCTCCACATGACAGGTGGAGGAGGGCTCCCCCCAGACCCCACATAACAGGTGGAGGAGGGGCTCCCCCCAGACCCCACATGACAGGTGGAGGAGGGCTCCCCGCAGACCCTCCACATGACAGGTGGAGGAGGGTTCCCCTCAGACCCCCCACATGACAGGGTGGAGGAGGGCTCCTCCCAGACCCCACATGACAGGTTGGAGGAGGGCTCCCCCCAGACCCCACATGACAGGTGGAGGAGGGCTCCCCCCAGACCCCACATGACAGATGGAAGACAGGTTCCCTACAGTCCCCAGTCACCTCTGGGGGTTCAGTGCTGGGCGAAGGAGCTCACTGGGGGAGGGGGGACAGAGACCAGCACTTATCACATGGGGATGATGATGCCAACCTCACCAACACACATGGGGGGCTCCTGGGGGCCAGGGCACAAGACTGTCTACTGTGCTCCACGGGGGACTCCCTGCCACAACCCTCGTCTGGGGGCTCAGCCTCAGGTCCTCAGCACCATCTCCTCAGTCCCCGTGGGCCTGGGGTGTGGGGGTGCAGCAGGCAGGTGAGCCCTTACTGTGCGCACCTGTAAGGAGTTGAGTGTGGCGAACGTGTACTGGAAGACCACGGCCTGCTCATTGACCGCCAGCACGCCGAAGAGCCACGAAGTGCCCAGGATTGGCAGCAACACCGCCACCGCCTTTGCCGTCAGCCTGGAAGAGAAGTGGGGCATACTGGGTAAGGGGCCAGGGTCACTTGGGACACACAGTCCTGCTGGGAAAACGCTAGAACATAGAGCCCGGCCCCCCGGCTCTCAGTAAGGGGCACCTGAGTGAGTACACAACAAGGACACAGGGGACCTCAGGGGTGCCCCGTGGGGAGCAGCGCCCTGGGGAGAGCCCTGGGATCTCGGGGGTCTTCAGCCCATGTGTCTCAAAAAAACTAACATGGTAACCAGGAGTCCTGTCTCGGGACATGATAGAATTCTCAGCCATCGTGACTGAGTCTGGGAAAATCCCCCATCTGTGAACGGAGCAGCCACCAGACGCAGGTTTGGAAACGGCGGAAACGGCTGCTCTGACCAATGGCCCTGTGAGGACAGTGAGCATAGTGTCCACTGCCCCGGTAGGGCCACTGGCTCCTGCGAGGGTGTCCATCTCACACCTCTGCTCATGGGTGCACTCTAAGGGGTCTCACCATCCCTTCCTCCCCCCAGAACCCTGGTCCCCATTCACAGAAAGTTCCCATGGGCAGGGGATCACTAAAGGACTGGCCCATTGGCTGCCTGGGAGCTGTGACGAGGAGGCAGGGTGGCAGGTGGGGATACTGAGGGTGCTGTCATCCTGGGCCTGGGCTCTGCAGGGGGTGGGAGGGCTGTCACTGGGGACAGCGTCTCACATAACTTCCCATGCACTGTGTCCTCGGGGGACTGAGGGGCCAGGCAGGAAGGACAGGTGTCTCCGAGGCCTGCTGTCCAGCTCTCGAGGGAACAGAAGGAGGTGACCCAGCCCCATAAGCACCTTCCCCTCAGATCCAGCCCCCGAGTCCCCCCCTGAGGCGGTGACAAGCCCCGAGGACCGTGACTTAATTCCCAGAGTTTGGAATTCATTAGAGAGTAATGACCTAATCGATTTGACTGCAGACATATTTACTGTTTTTCCTGACAGATCTGAAAAGACAGAGTGTAACTAAAGTAAGTTTAATTTTGCCAGCCTTTGGGCTGCACTTTAAATATTTTCATTAGAATCTGTGCAGAGGAAATGACCGTCCACTCCAAAATTTCCGAGCAGCCTCTGGCCCCTCACGACTGTCTCTGCTCCCCCAGCCCAGCCTGGTGGGTGTGGGGTCCAGAGTGCTGTACTCACGCTAGGAGTACAACCTTGGCCCAAGGTTGGGGTGCCGGCTGCTTGGTGTGACATTGGTCCAGGTAACTGGCATCCCTACCACAGAGAACCCTGAACCTTCAGATCTGCACCCCTATTTGCACAGGTTGGGAAGGGGCTTCCTGCCACCAACGCTGTGACACAGGAGGTGGGGCTGACCTAGCGGGATACTGACATGCAGGTGTGGGACTCAGGGACGACTGTTCATGGGGACATAAAGCCAGCCTCTCCACACTCCAGGCCTCCCAGGTCCCAGGGGACAGGTCCCCCTCAGCAGTGCTGGTGAGTACAGGGTGTTCCTTGTGAGGAGAGGGTCCTGACACAGAACGAAGCAGCTCTCACAGTCTGCTCTGGATGCTGCCTGCCCAGAGAGGACATGTGGACAGACCCTCGGTTCAGCCGCATTGAAGCCTGGCCAGGGGCATGTCTGGAATCTTAGGAGCAGGGCGGTGGATGCATACAGAGCCTGTGTGGGGGCATCTCTGGTGGCCCAGGGCCACTTACTTGAAGGCGTTGGGGTCTCCGTGGATCTTGTAGTTGTCAGCGCTGATCTGGGAGATGACCCTGGTGACAGCGATGAGGATGCCGATATTGACCTGCCAGGGAGAAGCCACAGGACACTGGTGAGGGGGCTGGAGGGGCCTGCACCTCCCATGTCACCTGGCCACCTGTCCTGCCCATGGTCACCCCACCATGCCAAGTCTTCTGGGACATTTACCTACACAGGCAACATTTCAGTATGGCCCACAGTGCTGGGATGCTGGAAGCAGTGCCCCCGGGATTAAGAACACCAGCAGGGTCCACCCATGTGGCCAGGTTTCAGTGGAGCTTCCAGACTAAGATGGACGAGGTGAAAAGGCCTGTGAGCTACGAGGGCTCTTCACGATGGAAGTGGGAAAGGCCGTTACCCTTTCATTCCACTGTCCTGGGCTTTGTGAAACCCAATCGTACTTAGTAATATCAGCCAATGAAAACCCTATGGCTCAAGACAGAATTCTGTTCAGTAGAGTGCTGGGAGATGAGCCCCCCAGGTTAGAAGACACTCAGAATACACACTGGTCAGACAGAACACTGTCCCATAGAGTGCTGGGAGATGAGCCCCCCAGGTTAGAAGACACTCAGAATACACAGTGGTCAGGACAGAACACTGTCCCATAGAGTGCTGGGAGATGAGCTCCAGGTTAGAAGACACCCAGAACACACAGTGGTCAGACAGAACACTGTCCCATAGAGTGCTGGGAGATGAGCCCCAGGTTAGAAGACACTCAGAACACACAGTGGTCAG